TCAAACGCTTCACTCGACTGTAAGCGGGAAATCAACGGCCCGAACACTGAAATACGGTTATAAAAAAGCGATAAATAAATGCTTTACAAACTAAATTTAGGTGCATCAGTGTTGTCTGGTACAATCTTGAACGAAATACGTCATTATTAATCTTTAGTTAGATTCCGCTAGCAACTCGAATATCGAGGTCTTACAGAGATTGCTCTTACATTGCTCTTAGAACTTTCTCAAACGCGCATGGGTTTGTAAGAAATAGTAAGATTCACTTTTGTTTTCCGAGAGAGACCATATCAGCGTAATCTTAACTATTAGGTGAGCTCACGGGGCTCAAACTTGACGATGTTGTTAACACGAACCCTAGCAAGAGCCGTGCTTCGCAGAATCTACCACCGGATCGGAAACGGGACCCACTGAGAAGATCCGGCCGAAATTCACGAAGACTTAGAAATGCCGACAGTTAGAGAGGAAATCAAAAGAACAGCAAGAGATACAAAGAAAGATGATCACTGAAATGAATTGGCAAGATCCCTGCTTGACACAACTGGAGATTAAAATCAAAAATTTCGCCAAGACTAAACTATAAAAAAATATTAACAAAGACAAACAATATTTAATCTATTCTCAATTTGACAACAGACGTCAAGAACAAAAGTTTGACAATAAATAGTATGCATGCGTGTGTGCGTCAAATACATGGTATGTAGTGTGTGTAATGTTTTCTTTATTGATTTAATGTATCTTTTATGCATTGTTTTAAAAAAATATTAGCATTGTGCACTTCCTCTCTATATTCCCTATAAGTGTGGAAAACTTCATACTCCTCCGTCCGCGCAATTTTCGTAAAAAGGGATACAAAGTTTTTGCTTCACGTATTAATATATAGAAGACAAATTTTAGACTTAGACCAAAGAAATTAAATTTACTGCTGTACATAATTGATGACATTTAATGTAATGTCATGCACAACTCAAACCCTTTGGAACACATCTGATTGCAGATAAATATAGAAGAAGAAAAAAATTTTAATTACGATCAGAAACCTCGTCCATGTGACGCATACATATCGACAAATGAAAGACTATTTGGTATAAGCGAAAAAAAATTCAAACTTATAGCAGACCCATTTAAAGCTTAAAACTTCGGAAAAAAAAAATCATATCAAAAATACTTGTTCGCTTACGCTGGCATACCCTCTACGTAGAACCAAGCTTGGTAGAAAAAAATCATCCGAAAAAAAATGGGCACTCAATTACAAAAGGAGACTAGGAGATATGATATGAAAATTCATACTAGTAGTAAAGATATGACGAATATTCACCAGTATTATTTGATTGGTATGTAAGTCTTGTATGGACGAGCTTACAGCGGTTCTCTTCGAGCTCTTTTTTTATTGTTTTCAGCTCACGGCTCGCCTGATGTTATGTGGCTGCCGGAACCAATAGACATCTACAACGTAAATGCCGCCACCCACCTTGTGATATGAGTTGTAAGGTCTCACTTTTAAAAGTACAACGTCTGTCCTACCTTTCAAACCGAAACGCATTACTGCTTCGCGGCAGAAATAGGCAGAGTGATCGTACCTATCCGTGCGGACTCTCAAGACGTTCTACCACCTAACAACATGTAATAACACAATTTATTTTCAAAGTCGGTTAAAATTATGAAAACTTTTCCGTACATCTGTACGCCTGTCAACGCCGACCCTAAGTGCAACGTTTTAGCGAATCGATACGTTAATAAGCCGTGAACAACAACGGATACTAACAACAATTTATTAATAACTCGCGGACGTACTCCGGCCGGGGGGTTATTACGATAAAACTGTTTTTAACACCCCCCCTATTGGATTAGAATGTTTGTTTGTGTGTAACGAAATCTTTGAACGTCATTTTTAGCTTTAAGACGTCTGATTGACTTCACACACTTCAAAGAACGATGACGATACGATAAGTTTTTAACTAGACTCAGTCCTTACGGATCCATCAGATCTAATAAATCTTGCAATAAACGCCTTCAGCTGTAACACTAGGAGTAGGCTGAGGGACCCCGGTAATCGTACTCGTCGAGCTTGGCAAAGAGTTCCACGTGCAACCCAACCCATGCATCAGCCCGATGAGTTTCTCGCCGGATCTTCTGAGGGGGTCGTGATTCCGATCCAGTAGTAGATGCATTCACGAAACTTTTAGGTTTCCTTCGGAGGAGCTCGGGTAGCTCCCAAATCCCACCCCTTCTGTCTGAGCCTTTGCCGACCACCTATCCTGCTGAAACTAGAAAGGCTTTAAGGCCACCAGTAATCCTTCCTTCATAAAAAAAAACTACATTCAAATATATACCTGTATCGACACAGTAAAGAAAATATGAAATTAACTGTAAACTCGGTTTGTTATTGAATCATGTATTTATCATTAAATTAGTTTTTAATTAAATATAGTAATTCTATATGGTATATGGTAAAGTAGTTAGTAGTTTTTTTTTGTAATGCGTAGATGAGTGCACTAGTTCGCACCCTGCTAAGTGGTAAGTGGAGCTCATAGACAACGCCAATTCGACTTCTAACATGACAGGCACATAATCTCGTAATTTGCTCTAAGAGGCTATATTCACGTATTGTTAATAGCAATTGAGAAACTAAAGAAACGATCTTGTTTACGTAGTTACTGGTGACGAGTTTAAAATTACACAAATTCGTTAACTCATTGGTACCACCAGCCTGGTAATACGACCATGCTTCACTATGACTCTGATGATGATAATGATTTAAGCTAAATGAACTACATTTATTCGCTGAAAAAACTCCCGCGACCCATGACGCACGTTGGTGAGTTATTATGTTTGCTTAAGCCCGCTATGAACGCGCAAATTATTAATAAACTGACAAACATTCCTATTATATACCTACAATGCACATATTACTTTGAAGAGGGCTCTAACAAGTTTTGACCCCCAAAGCGCTTCCTGATTACGGATCTGCGCCATCACGTCACTCTCGCGCCAAAATGATCGGGCGTTGACAGTTTTACGCGCATCCATTTCCAAGTCCATTTGGTAAAGCGGATAAATATTTATTCCAGAATAAACTTTCCTAACATTAAAAGATTTTCAAGTAGTAGTAATGCGGGACTTAATAGCGCGTTGAAGATCTTACGTATTTATGATTTAAAATTCAACGGGTAGAGAAGAAAAAATCAGATTAAAACATTGAATGGTGATTACAGAGTCACTAAAAACGAATTCACAGATTAGTCTCCAGTTTAATTTGTGTTTTAAATGTCTAATGCTTCGGATGCGTTAGTCACAAAATTTATACATTATCTGTAAAAATTGCACGTGATTAGCCTATTTTAAAATAACAACAAAAATCATTGCATTCTAAAATCGGTTATGAAAAAAAGGTTAGGTTATCTTGTTTTTATTACGATCCTTCGAATAAAATGAAATAGAAATTTTAGCTCAAATTTAATAAGTATGAGAAGAATAAATGAAAGTCATATTGCCATTGACTCGATAATTATAGATGTCAATGTGGACAAATGCACAGAAAAATAACTATTTTTTTTCTATTGCTTCGATGGGTGGACGAGCTCACAACCCACCTGGTGTTAAGTGGTTACTGGAGCCCATAGAAATCCACAACGTAAATGCGCCACCCACCTTGAGATATAAGTTCTAAGATCTCAAGTATAGTTACAACGGTTGCCCCACCATTCAAACCGAAACGCATTACTGCTTTACGGCAGAAATAGGCAGGGTGGTGGTACCTACCCGCTCGGACTCACAAGAGGTCCTACCACCAGTAATTACGCAAACTATAATTTTGCGGGTTTGATTTTTATTATACGACGTTATTCCTTCACCGTGGAAGTCAATCGTGAACATTTTGTTGAGTACGTATTATATTAGAAAAATTGGTACCCGCCTGCGGGAATCGAACACCGGTGCATCGCTTCAACACGAAAACACCGGAGTCTTATCCTTTAGGCCACGACGACTTCTAAAATTATTATTACGCTTTTATTGTATTTATCGGATCACCTCACTTCAGTTATTAATATATCTTTGGTTATTGGGGTTTAAGTGGCCGGTGTATTTTTATCGAATAATGCGAATAACCTGACCTATACCGATTGTCTTGATTTAGAAGAAAAATCTCTAGGTACCTAATTAATTTGGCAAGTGGCTTTCATTAGTTAAATAAAACTATTAACAAACGCGCCTGATGAAATAAAATGATTAGTTTAAAAAAATATTTTTTGCCTTTATCATGTAATCAGGTAATGTGAGAACAGCTTGCGTCACGACGACAGCCCTGATAGTCATGGTCATGGTATAGTTGAGACTTTATGTCTCAAGATGAATGGTAACCATCACGATGTGGGCTGCGTTAACAGATTGCAATTGATAGAACGTGAGTCCGAATGCCGTTTCGCGCACCCTAGAGAAATAAATAAATAACCAAGCATTCTTAAAATCAAATCTTTAACAACTTTATGGATTTTTCAACTCAACTTATCTACTTTTTCAAGTCTTACGTTATGTTAATGTGTTATGAACAACAAACTCAAGTAAATCCTAGAAATTACCTACCTACTGACATCTAGTTGCTAAAATTAAAATTTATATTTCTTCGGTTTTTAACGCCATCTGTGACACTGTCAGTGTACACTAGTAGTCAAATACAGTAATATTTTTAGCTATAGAACATTCCTAAAAATAATTCTAGATGGCGCTCAACTAGGCGTGGATCTGGCAACACTATTTGTTCCATTATACGTAAATATGTTGACGCCTCTGAAAGAAACCTACTAAATTAAATTTCTAAGGTATTTATAATTTATTATTTAAAAATATCAACTCAAAATATCCATATTGACTGGCTTACAAAATAGCTTAAAATCAAATTCACAAATAATTGTATTTTCTCAGCAATGCATTCACACTAATGTGAAATGAAACTTATCAGTTGTAGCCATATGCAAAAATTGCAAGTCAGAAATAACTTCTCGTCAAAATCCACCATTTTCCCTTTGTAACTAACCGGTGTTCAAAACACGTGCATACGATCAAGTTACATGGAAAACTCGTACTGTCGCGTCTTGTAATAACTAAATAGCGTCATAAAAAAGTGCCCCGTTTTAACGTTAACACAATTTACGCTTAAAAACAGCAGAATGAACAGCGAAAAATTAAAGAAACTCCAGTCGCAAGTACGCATCGGCGGTAAGGGCACACCGAGACGCAAGAAGAAGGTTGTTCACGTTACTGCGGCCACAGATGACAAAAAACTGCAGTCATCGCTCAAAAAGTTGTCAGTGAACACAATTCCTGGCATCGAAGAGGTAAATATGATCAAAGAGGACGGTACTGTGATACACTTTAACAACCCGAAGGCACAAGCGTCGCTGGCCGCGAACACGTTCGCGATTACCGGACACGGGGAGAATAAGCAGACCACAGAGATGCTCCCGGGTATCCTCAGCCAGCTCGGACCCGACGGCTTGAACCGACTGAAAAGGATTGCGTCGAGTGTTGCCGCGCCTAAGCCACTCGAGGAAGACGACGAGGTACCTAACCTCGTCGGCAACTTTGACGAAGCCTCAAAACAAGAGGCCAAGGAGGTTGTAACTAACGAGAAGGAGAAGGAGAAAGAAAAGAAACCCGAATCAGAAACCAAAGCTGACAAGAAAACTGATTAAATTAACCACAAGTATAGTTTTAATTTGCTCACCTACATGTCAAGGGTTTCCGAAGCCATCTGTGTCTCAAAAGAATGATTTTCACTTTTATTTCATTACGTTCCTGGGTGTATGAACTTCATCATGTATTGCATTTGTTTGGAAAGAGTGATGTGATGTACGGGGACACTAAATTTTTAATTCTAAGTGATGGCTCTGGAAACCGTGCAGCCCCATTCAAATGCAATTGTTTTTGATAGATCATCAACCTTTTCAGCATTGTGGAATATTGATTCTCAAATAGGCATTAGATAAGTGTTATAAACCTACTGTTGAGAAATTAATACAAAATGTTTTAAAATTGACATTAAACAGTTAAGGGTATGAATGTATTAAGATAAAGGAGGCATTTTTTGAAAATGTAAAGTATTTTCTAGAAAAAATTGTTAGTCATGTCCAATTTTGCTTACAAGTTTTTTATCAGTTGAAAAAACATAGGTTTATAAAATTAGTCACAGGTAGCTCAAGATGATGAGCTAAAATTATTGTAAAAAAATATATAAAAAATAGCAAAAAAATGTAAATGATTGAAGATTTAAGGTTATCTAAACAATAAAACTTTGGTCGGATGTTTGAGTTTTATTTGATTATAAATTGTTTATGATGGTATTTAATAGCAATTTTAAATTATTTTGGCCTTTAAAAGTAATCAAATAGCTCTTTTGTCTATGTTTTTCAACATCGGCACTGTCAGTGCCCAGCCAAGCCACAATATCCTTGCACTCTACCCGATCTGAAAATATAAACTGCTTAATCAATGACTCGTGTTAATTTTAATTATTTTATTTTATTTTTTTAAAGTTTAGATGAGTGGACGAGCTCACAGGCCACCTGGTGTTAAGTGGTTACTGGAACCCATAGACATCTACAACGTAAATGCGCTACACATCTTGAGATATAGTTCTAAGGTCTCAGTATAGTCACAACGGCTGTCCCACCCTTCAAACCGAAACGCATTACTGCTTCACGGCAGAAATAGGCGGGGCGGTGATACCTACCCGTGCGGACTCACAAGAGGTTTTACCACCAGTAAATAAAATTGGAATGGATTGTAATGTTTAATTACATGTCTGAAGGTAGATTACAGAAATCAAATTTTAGTTTATGAATCTATTATTAAATGAATTATTTTGCCTGAGAGTGCTTTCACAGAGCCACTTTCTTTAAACCTGTATTCTAAAATATTTTCTAAACTACCTTATTTACTAATTATTAAATGGCCTATAAAGTTTAAATCTAGTATATGTTTGTTTCGAAGGACAAACCTGCATTTAAAATGGTGTAATTATACTCATTACAATTGATGCTGTTTCTTTTATACTCAACATCACGCAGCACGCCACCGGAGCTGACTTAAAGGAGGTATATTACCTACAACCACTGATCCACGTTCCCAGACATAGTTTCTGCTACATAGGTAGGTACAGTGAATGCGGTATTCATTTCAGCGGTGATAGATTCATGAGCACTATCTTGTTAAAAAATTGTATTGCTTAGAGACAAATACGCACTCAACGAATGTTCACGATTGATTTCCACGGTGAAGGGATAACATCGTGTTATAAAAATAAAAAACGCAAAATTATAATTTGCGTAATTACTGATGGTAAGACCTCTAATGAGTCCGCACGGGTAGGTACCACCACTCTGTCTATTTTTGCCGTGAAGCAGTAATGCGTTTCGTTTTGAATGGTGGGGCAGCCGTCGTAACTATACTTGAGACCTTAGAACTCATAACTCAAGGTGGGTGGCGCATTTACGTTGTACTTGTCTATGGGCTCCAGTAACCACGGACCGGGTGGGCTGTGACCTCGTCCACCCATCTAAGCGATAAAAAAGAGACGACACATAAATTTATAAAATTTAACGTGGGAGAAAATGAGATGGGAAGCATTATATAATGGTTCTTATATTCGTGGTTCTCTTGGAACTTACACTACTTAGTACCTAATATTCGTACATAAAACATTCTGAATAAATCTATGTAAATCAACACGAATAAAATGTAACATAATTTTCAAACTTTGTATCACTTTGATCATTATAACTAAAACCTATAATTATTATTATCCTCTTCCCAAAATTTAACATTCGTCATCTTGAAGCCAACATTTTTGAAGGTTTCACTTCTACCACGTGTGAATTGCACACGCTTTTTTTGTCAACCATTGCTAATTTGAGAACGAACGATTCAATTCTTTATTGTAATCGTGTAAAGACTACATTTCTTTATACATATTCATGACAATAGTAGCATGACCTTATAAATTAAACGTGTCTATTTCGCAATAAAAAACCGCGAGTTTCGACATTAAAATAGTTTAGTAGGTAGGCATAGGCTTATTTAATAGAAAAACGCCTACTGATTGAGTAACAAGATGACTTCATCTTTACTACTCAAAGTAGGTACCTACCTGCGATCTTACTGAATCTCCAACATTTATTATGAGGCACGATTTCTGTGAGCTTTGAAAAAACTGAATTATCTTTCACATTCGTTGCATCTTTTTTAACGTTTCTGTTCTTTTTTGTTTCGAATAGGTACTTTTATATTTTACTTTTGCGGTCCTTTAGAATCGAAGTATAAATATGTTATTATTATGATAGAAAGATTTAAACCCGTCTGTGCAATTCATTAGGAAAAATATATACTCCTTAACATTTATATTACAAATTACAATTTATAAATCTTTAGTGTGAATAATTAGGCATCAAATAAATTGTTTTTAAGTTATGTAGGTAGGTATATAAAGAGTAATGTTTCAATATTTAATGAATTTATTTGATTTTTGCGGTTGCCTATGAGTGGGTGGCCTGATTGTGTTGTTGGTTAGTACTCATTTTAATCATCCACGTCGTATCGATAAAAATATGTGAACAGAAAATATTTTTGAAATTATGCAGGCCTATTTCCGAGGGACATAAGAAAGAACTGCTAAATCATTATTGGTTCCGAAGTAATATTCGTAGGACTGATTTTTAAGACGAAAACAATAATGAGATTTCGACAGGAATCCTGCTATAATATAAGTATTTTTTTTATTGATAGGATAGGTAGATAAGCTCATGGCCCGCTTCGTGATAAGAAGTCACCAGTGTGCTTAGTGCGAGTTTTTTAACGTTCTCGACAGCGTAAAAGTGAACTCAATTCTGTATGCAGTTGGAACAGTGCCCCTAGCGGCAAACGTAGGCAAACGATCCCATTCTATACAAATATGAGCTAACTTTTACGTTATCGAGAACGTTATAAAACTCGCACTAAGCACTAAGCCGGGCGGAGCTCTTAACAAGTTTCAACTTTAACAGTACGACGGCCGAGCCTCCTATGAGGTATCCGCGGCTATGGAGCACGCGGGGTATATGAGAATTGATGGTCTGCAGATGTTGGAGGCAGGCTGCGGGCTCAAGGATATGTCTAGGACTCTACTACACCAAACGACTCCCCTTGCACTCTCACACCCGACGTCCGATCTCCGCCCGTGGTCAGAACTCGGTCAAAGGAGGGCTCTCGCGGTCAGTACTACGACCAGGACGCCGCCCTTAGGACGCCCGACCGACGGGTCGTCGAGGTAATCGTCAACGACCAACGACGCTGGTCTCCGCGTTACGACAACCCTGCCATGCCGCCCAGGCGATGCCGCTGATATTCTGGGATACCTCGCTGAGTCAAATCCAGCCTGCCGGAACGCGATACACCGCCGACACGGGCAGGGTAATGCGAACATACGTCCTAGAAATTACGTAAATCATATTTTTTACGGATTTTGATTTTTATTGCACGATGTTATTCCGTCACCGTGGAACCATCTTACACCGTCTTACATAAACATTTCGTATGATACGATAAGATATTTTATTAGAAAAATTGGTACCTGCCTGTGGGATTCGAGCACCGGCACAGTCTCATCGCTCTGTATTGATGACGATCGATGATTAATTACTAAATATGAAATCATCGTGGCTTAAAAATTAAATGAAGGCATCATGAACACGAAAAAAATAATAAGCATTACCTAGCCTTAATGCATAAAAAATGAGCTGACGTTCAGAGTTAATGGTCTCATTACAGTCCCTTAATATTTACTTTGTCCCTTCTTAGTATCACTAACCAAGGCGTGGGACTTGCCTTCAAATACGGTTTGACATGCCAGTTTTCTATTAGTACTGTACTATCTCAAATGTACCGTATGTTTGATGAGTAAAAAAAACAAAAACTGGGCTGGACGTTAGTTAAGTGCACAAACGAAACACTAAGTGGTAAAATATAGAACAAAGATTTTCTGACATCTAATTTCTATGTTGTTATAAGGCAAAAATAAGAATTTAAGTCATGGTCAAACAATAGATAACGATTATTTTTATTAAATTTCAATAGTGTTAGGAAAACTTCTGAACTCTAGAATTTTACTTTATATTTTTGAACGAAAAAAATTAGTGTCATTGAAATAAAAATAGAAACTGCACAGAAGGGGCGACAAAAGGGTTGTTGAGTTTACGTAGGGTACTTTAGTTTTTGGGAATCGATTCGATTCTTGGTATTCGATTCACTTTTGCAAAGAAAATATAATTAATATTTTGTAAATATTAGCTGAACCTTTATGTCGAATAAGTTACTTTAGTTACTTTCATTTGTGTAACTGTACCGTAAAACTAGTGTAAAAATGAAAGTAAAACATAGACCTATAAAGTAAAATGATAAAGTGACAATACTAAGAACCGATTCAAAATTTAGCATTCTATAAAACTAAAAAATCGTTTTGATGATTTAAGATGATCAAGTCTCAAGTTGGTCTTAGCTCTATATTAAGAAATTTTGGTCATTTTTCAACAAAAGGTCTGTTTCATGAAATAAAAAATAAAAGTAATATTTGAACTGTGAATTGAGGTGTTAGTGGTAAAAATAGCAATATGATAGCAAGGCCGTGGACTGACGATCTTCCGAAGTGCAGGAATACGTGTGTAGCTTCGTATTTTTCAAAGCTCGGAGGACACTCAAATGCTAACGATGATTATTTATGTTTTTTCTGTCAAACAGAGGATAATTTGTAAGTTTAATTTATCATAACTTTTGTATATCTAAGCATGTCACAATAGTATAGGGTTAAAAAAATACATTAAACTTGTTTCTGTCTTCATTGTGTCAAAGATAGTATTCATGACGGAAAATGTAACTATAGGTGAAGAAAAAACCCAGTCATTTAAATTTCGAAATACGTAGTTAAATTCTGAAGTTCATCAATTATTATTAAAGTTTTGTAAATAAACAAAGGTTTTAATATCAACTTTCTCAAGTGAAAATGTTGCAAGTCCTCAACCCTGTTTTGTATTGCTATTTCTGCAAAACGCATCTCCCATCTGTATAGTGAATAAATTATATTCCAAGTGATCTTAAAACACTTAGCTTGATATTATCCTTGATTTGTTTATTAAAATAAATGTAAAATATTAATAATAAGTTTGCATTTAAATTAATCTTAATATAGAAAAAAATATAAACTACACCAAAATTCACTTAATAAGCCTATCTTTATACAAATACAAACTTTATAACTAAACTAAATGTTATTCTGTTAGTTGTTTATATGGAGTATTTGAGCCACACAATGGACTTGAAGCGGCCAGGCTTATCATGCAAAGAATGGCAGCTGAAATATTATTTCCACCACCCTCAGCCAACACAGATGAAGAGATACGAGACAGACTTAGGTAAAAACTATATATATTTATCATAAATAAATAAGGTTGTATAAGAGAGATACTATTGTTCCTATATGAAATATACTTTATACAAATAGGAAAAAATATCAATTACTAGCTGACCCGGCAGACTTCATAGTGCCTCAATCGATAAATAAAAGACCTAAACTTTTGTATAAAATAAACTTAAAACAAACAAAAGAATCCATCTGACAGGGGACACATCCAAGGATAACCAAATTTTTATTTCAATCTGAGCATTTTTATATTTATCTACCTTTTAAACCTTCTCTGGACTTCCACAAATAATTCAAGACCAAAATTAGCCAAATCGGTCTAGCCGTTCTCGAGTTTTAGCGAGACTAACGAACAGCAATTCATTTTTATATATATAGATTATGCAAATAAAATACAGGCTTCTGAGCAAATAGAGGGTAAATGGTATAAAAGATGGAACATGGGTCGAGATATTAATATTAATTCGTTTTATATATAGGAATGCATTTGTGTCAGTTGAGAAAGCATACATTGAAAACTATGATGGAATGATAGCAGAAAGAACTAGTTTGCAATATCAGCTGCAGACTTCTAGTGAGACTCAGGTACTCATTTTGATTTCTTCTTTGCTTTTGTATAGACAGAAGATTAGAATGTACTGGCAGTTTCGATTATTCTTTTATATAACAACATTTAAAGTATATTATTCATAAAATACAAGGTATACTTTTACTTCATTTTCTCACTGCCTTTGCTCAAAAGTACGGTAATATTAAAAAAATCTAAAAATATTTAGGACAAAAGTCGACATATACAATTATTATAGTTATTAATAACCTGCAGTTATATAATATGCTAGAATGAGGATGTTTATGTTTTAGTGTCAGAGGATTTTTATCTAAGTGCTTCAATTTAAATTTCAGAATCGGCAACTTATATTGTCTCGCTTAAAAGAAATAGACCAGCATCTGTCCGGAGGTGCTACTGTGGTCGTAGCTTTAGTGCACAAAAATAAACTATTTGTTGCTAATGTTGGTGAGTGTTTTCTTATTAAATTCAGTACTAATATTGTTATGTGGCTCCGAGATTCTATAAAATTATGTGAACCATACTGACCGTTGTAACCATACTGAGGACCTTAGAACTTATATCTTAAGGTGGGTGGCTTATTTGCGTTGTAGATTTCTATGGGCTCCAGCAACCATTTACCACCAGGTGGGCTGTGAGCTCGTCTACCCATCTAAGCAATAAAAAAAAAAGAATATTATTGTCTCCCACTGAGACATGAGTTGGGAGTCTTGTTTTATTATCAACCAAGGATGAATAAATGCACAGATTATTACTACTATCTTCTTATTACTTCTATCTATTATTCTAGACTATTGCTATCTTCTCTCATAAAAAATTATTAGCAAATATTAAATTCCATAATCAAACCTTTTACTACCTCACAAGGACGCTCTTACTATCTTATACCTTTAAACGAGCAATTCTTGTATATTAATATACAATGTATATAATCTGAATCTCGGAAACGGCTCCAACGATTTTCATAAAATTTAGTATACAGGGGATTTCGGGGGCGATAAATCGATCCGGCTACGATTTATTTTCAGAAAATGTTGTTTTGTTCGTGTTTTCAATAATCAACTTTACTTTATGACTCTTCCCGACATCTATTGGCGAATAATAATACTATTTTTACTGCTTTAAAGACACAACAAGATGGCGTTATAAAAAAAAAGCCAAGCAAAGCTCGGTCATCATCTAGTTGTACTTAAACTTGTAACGTATGCAAAATAGTGCTGCATACTTTGCTTCGCCCTAAATAGTTTTCGTTTTGTATCATATTGTTCAGAATGATTCAAACTCCTTACGGGCCCTATCTCTAGTGTGCTCTTATATATGTCACTTACAATGGCTCAGGAAAGCAGTCGCCCCTCTAACATTATAAATACATCTAAATTTTTCTATTCATTTTTTGCGGTAGGCAGCGGCTTGGCTCTGCCCTTGGCATTGCTGAAGTCCATGGGCGACGGTAACCACTCACCATCAGGTGGGCCGTATGCTCGTCTGCCTACAAAGGCAATAAAAAATTCATCTACACACCTTACTAGTTGATATTATTCAGATACAATACAATAAACCTGAGTTCTTTGCAAATGGATGATCGTAATTTTATCCATTTTGGCACAGGGCTGGAAGGGATCTTATCTTACAAGAACCATCGTAGTTACTAACACAAAAAAAAAAATTGAACAATTAATGTATTCGTTATGTTTATTTATTTTACAGGTGAAAGTAGAGCTCTATTATGTCGTACGGACGATAACTCGGTATTAAGGGTCGTGCAGCTGACCGTGGACCACAGTCTCAACAACGAAGACGAGCTGCTCAGACTGTCTCAGCTAGGCTTAGACGTTAATAAACTGAGGAATGGTGAGCTTTTTCTTTCTCAAATACCTTCTTTTAGGTCATTTATTGTCTAACTTGAACCTCCACCCGTTTTATACAATATTCCGTAATTTCCCCTATAACACGGTATATTGGTTCCGCGTTATAGGAATCGCGTTGTAGGTGAATTCCCGTATAACGTGCTTGTATGGCATGACCTTATATAACGCGTTATGTACAAAATTAAATCCAATATAACCAATGTTTTTATAATGCAAAACTAAGGAACACAAATTAAATAAATAAATTTAATTTAATTTTATAACAACACTATTAATACAATGTGCAAAAGTACACGAAATTATTTATGAACTGTGTACAGTTCATATTTCATTATAATCATTATAAATTTCACAGTACAGAAATATAACATTTAAACCCCCCGCGTTATATGGGGGAATACCCGTGTTAAACGAGATACGAAAATCGCGTAATATGAAAACGCGTTATAAGGCCACCTTGTTATAAAGGGGAATTACTGTATACAATTTTTTATGTACATATTTGTTATGTTATCAGTTGTAGTGGTTATTGAACTAAAGGTCTTATTGCTTACTTGGGAATTAGATTGCTTACTTAGAGGTCCGTGGACATCACCACTTGCACACCACTACCGGTCTTGAGACAGGCAGTGTAGGTTCTAAATTTATTTATTATAAAAAAAAAGAACACAATATTCCTAACCTAAAAGTACATGTTATTATCCGCAACATGCTTCTAAATGTATTATAATATAACAACTATGTCGCACTTCAAACCGGAACCCATGAATGATTATAGCCGCTTGCAGACTACGCTATAATATAATAGCATAATATAGTACATAGCTCATAGCACAACAATATCCCACATCATAAATTGTTATGGATATGTTGTACTATATATTATTAGTTAAGTATACGCTGCTATACTATATGGGACTATAGTATAGCGTAGTTTGAAAGCAACTTATATCTCGTGAACACAGCGACAGCATGTTGTTTTTGAAGTGAAACTTCTAATGCGACTTTGGTTGCGTCAAACGTTCAACGCTCTTGGGGAGGGGGAATAGAAAGAGACAGAGCGAGAGTGAATGCATGGCACTCGAACGCATGCGCGTAGTATACCTCTTACAGGCCAGCGCGAGCGTTAGCAACGAGTAGCGACCAATATCTTAATTTAGTATTTTAAAAAATATATATATTTCCTTTTCTTCCTAAAATTTAATACATATCTTTACTAATAAATAAAATTGGACTGTCTGTTTGTAATAATAAAATAACCACTTTTTACTAAATGCGTAAGTATGTATAATACACAGTATATGTACCACCATAATAATTTTTTTAAATTTTGTCTGTGTGCTTTTTGTTCCGGCTAATCTCTAGAACGGCTGGACCGATTTTGACGAAAATTTCACTGATAGGTAGCTGATGATATAAGGAGTAACCTAGGCGACTTTTTTTAGACTAGCCTCGCCCGCGGCGTCACCCGCGGTACGACAATAACCGCGGGTAGCATCGCGGGACTCGGCTAGTATAATATGTACTCTGTATCCTTATTGACGTGTCTTTTCTAACAGCTGTGTGTACAAAATATTTTAAATAAATAAATGTTGAAGGTGTCACATCTCTTATACACAGTATTCCCTATACAAGAGCAATCTGATTTAAGGATAAAAAATTAAGAAAACCACAATACTACACGCCGAAAAAGAAATTTCACATCATTCACGTGCACAAAGTTAGACGGCAACCGCTTTTTTTTTACAATATTGTTACGCGCTGGGGTTTGGGATAAATAAAATTTCACCAAAGTACAAACTAAAAACTGTATTCAACACTTAAAACACTTAAACACTTCACAAATACTTTAAAACACTCCACAAACACTTTAAAACTCTCGATTCGCTTGTTCCGCTTCGCTTCAGGTGATCCGTTCGCTGTTTCGCTTCGAGTAGTTCCGATTACTGACTGACTGCGTGACTTCTCTGCAACGCATTTATAGCCGATACCACATCCCTAGAATTATCGAGAATATTCCACGCATCTCTAGTAGTAGTTCCCGCTATCTGACAATAGATGGCGTTGTACTTCTCGAGCGTTCTAGGTCCCTTGATATTCGTTCGACTATTCGGCGATAGATGGCGTTACTCTTACCGGCATAACAATATTGTTGCATAAAGGGTGTTATTAAAGTGGTTATGTACGTTTCTTCAGCGCAATACCTCGGCAACCAAACCGGGACCAGGTGTCTGGGGAATTATTTAGTGAAGGGCCTGTACAAAGCGTTTCCCAGCATCAGCCCGGCCTCGTCCGAGCCCGTGGTGGCCTCCCCGGAGATACACGGACCCATCGTCCTGGACGACAGCTGTAGGTTAGTACGAAAGTATATTAGCACAATGTAATAGTAATTAATATACTGAAGTCGAACTGGCCTAAAGCAGGGGCTCCCAAACTTATTTTGTCTAGGGTCCACTTTGAGAATGAAATATTTTTTAGCGCCCCCACGTTTTCACCTACTTAAAAACCACTATAGCGAGAGCTTAGTCGGTGTCTAAGAGTCCTCTTAGATGAAATTACAAATCGCCTTTCAAGTCTCTACACAACGTCCTCTTTTTTCTGGGTCTTTTACCGCCCCCCTTTAGGCCTACAGCGCCCACAAGAGGGCGTTATCGCCCATTTTGGGAAAGGCTGGCCTAAAGGATAAGACGTCCGGTGTGTTCGTATCTAGCGATGCAACGGTGTTCAAATCCCGCAGGCGGGTACCAATTTTTCTAATGAAATACGTACTCAACAAATGGACACGATTGACTTCCACGGTGAAGGAATAACAACGTGTAGTAAAAATGAAACCCGCAAAATTGTAATTTGCGTAATTACTTTGTAGATGGGTGGACGTGTTCACAGCCCACCTGGTGTTAAGTGGTTACTGGAGCCCATAGACATCCACTACGTAAATGCGCCACTCACCTTGAGATACAAGTTCTAAGGTCTCAAGTATAGTTACAACGGCTGCCCCACCCTTCAAACCGAAACGCATTACTGCTTTACGGCAGAAATAGGCGGGGTTGTGGTACCCACCCGCGCGTACTCACAAGAGGTCCTACCACTAGTAGTTTGTCAAGAAACAATTCCTGAAATTAATTGAAAAAAAAATCATTTCAGATTTCTGATCCTAGTAAGCGCGGGCGTTTACAAACGCATACAGGAGTCGAGGGGCAGCAGCGAACAGACGAACAAACAGCTCGCCCAGATGATCGTTGAGCACTTCAGAAAGCAGACAGACTTCAAGGCCGTCAGCGAAACGGTCCTGCACGAGATCGAGGAGGAGTTCATATCCCATTGCGTCAAGAACAACCTGACTCCCAAATCGAATACTCACGTCACGCTGCTCATACGGAACTTTAACTTCATCGCGGCCGCGGGGGCGGAGCCCGGCCCTCCCAGGAGCGCCTCGGTGCGCTTCAACCCGGTCGTGCAGTCCAAGTCCAGCACGCTCTTAGATGAAATGGAGTCCAGCTCGCCGGAGTCCCCGGTCGACACGTGCCCGGGCCGCCAGTACGACAAGCACGTGCGCATCAAGGGCTACGTTGACTTCGCGTGCTACTACGAGAACGTGGAGAGGGCGCGTCGCGGCGGCACCCTGCCAGACTTCATCCAGTGAGCACCACCCCCTACTCAGGGTAAATAACCTGTTTGTTGTACTTTAACTAATATTGAGCTATAGGCGGATGCTTTGTTACTGGTGGTAGGACCTCTTGTGAGTCCGCGCGGGTGGGTACTACCGCCCTGCCTATTTCTGCTGTGAAGCAGTAATGCGTTTCGGTTTGAAGGGTGGGGCAGCCGTTGCAACTATACTGAGACCTTAAAACTTATTATCTCAAGGTGGGTGGCGCATTTACTTTGTAGATGTCTATGGGCTCCAGTAACCACTCAACATCAGGCGGGCTGTGAGCTCGTCCACCCATCTAAGTAATAAAAAAAAACTTACTGGTATCTACTTCTACCATAGCGGGTAGATGCGACAAGTATTACTCAAAATAAACAAAACAAACCAAAAAAAAAGTATAATAACTGTTGAGAGACGACACGTGCATTTTCAATGCAAGAGTTCAAAATGGATCATTTGACCTATTATGGTATGTTTAGTGTTAACTAATATAGAGCTATAGGCGGATGCTCGAATCGATCTTCAGACGGATCTCGGGATATTTCCTTGCTAGTTTCTAATTTATTTATTTATTCAACTCCATGCACAAAGGTGCAATGTTGGACTTAATACTTGAGGCATTCTCTACCAGTCAACCAAGGGTGGTGTAGAGTCCTCTGGTAGGTGCATTATTTATTGCGAAAATAACAAAATTGATAATAATATTACATACAGATACAAACACGTTCATGGTATATATATGATTACATACAACAACATACACAATATTATATCATGATAACAATATAAAAATTACACATCATCTATATATATTCACTATAATATACTCGTATATTCACATACATATATTATAATCATATACACAACATAAAAATATAACAAATTGTAAATATATTTTTTGTTTTTCAAGAACGTCCAATCACCACAGGCAGAGTCTTCCAAGTGGTCTATGGACCTTAAGTATTCAGTTCATGACTGTATATACCTTGGTGACAGGGTGTTGACTTTTAGTATCTGAGAACATTGTTTGCATGTTACGTTAATAAATTTGAAATATTTCAAATATTAAGTTAAATCATGCTTTTTATATGTAATATTTATATTGTTTATAAATAATAATTTATAAATGAATTCGAATAAATGTCATTTTATAATTAATAAAAACAAAAACAAAACTTGTATTTTTTTTTATTACACATCTTTACACATTAATCGCGCACAGATATACTGTGAAAGCTTTTTATTTCTAATGTATAGTTTAAAAAAACAAAGATTAACACTAATGATCAGCATTTTCGTGCTTCGAATTTCAAATGTTCATTGAAACTGCATTCTTAAAATAATTATCAGTAAAACATTTAAGGTGTGATTTACAGTTTGAGAACCAATGACTAAATAACATTTTTCAACACATGTTCGATAATTTAAGGCGTGTAATAGAAATCTTTCATAATTTAGGCAGAAGCCATTAAATTTTACTTACTTTACATTACAATTAAAATAAATTTCACAAGTTTTAGGGACCTAAATGTTATAAGTTTTGTTATCAGTAAACCGATTTTGTATCAATGTGTACAATTCGAGATCCCATTGTTGTTTAAATTTAACGCGTATTAATTTAGCGTTCTAATTATTTTAGTTCACATAATATTTATTTAAGCGAAGTTTGAATCGAATGAATTACCTATTTAGCCAGTGGTTCTAAAACTTTTTTCTTAGCGCCCCTTAAATGAGTCACATGATAATTATAATTTAAAATCAGACGGGCTTGTAGTCCAGTTTGCTCTCCAGCTTTTTGTTGTCGGCTACTTTACGGACGGCCTTCATTAGATCCTCCTGAGGTGGAATGGAGAAGATTTATCATTATTCAATAGGTAAAGGTACGGTAGGTAAAAAAAAAGGTACGCAGATATTCTAGAGTGCTATTTCGACGGGTTACATTGTCTTGTAGTGCTATAAAAAATACACCAAATGACATTTGTATGAACACTGCAAACTTGAACAACGTTACAAATTATGGGAATGGTGGTAGGACCTCTTGTGAGTCCGCACGGGTAGGTACCACCACCCCGACTATTTCTGCCGTGAAGCAAGAATGCGTTTCGGTTTGAAGGGTGGGGCAACCGTTGTAATTATACTTGAGACCTTACACTCATATCTCAAGGTGGGTGGCGCGTTTACCTTTGTCTATGAGCTCCAGTAACCACTTAACACCAGGTGGACTGTGAGCTCGTTCACGCATCTAAGCTATAAATAGATTATTTCGAGTGGGACCTGTATGATGTACTCCCGCTCGGCCCTGATGGCGAAGAGTCCGGCCTCCGTGCAGACGTTGCGCAGGTCCGCGCCGTTAAACGTGTCCGACAGCTTCACAACCGCCTCGTAGTCCATCTCGCCGTGCTTGGCGATCGGCGACGCGTGGATCTTCAAGATTTCCAATCTGAAACGTGTACAGGCTTTTGAAACACTCGCCTTCTTACTGGTAGCGGTAGGCAGCAGCGGCTCGGCTCTGCCCCCGGCATTGCTGAAGTCAATGGGCGACGGTAACTACTCACCATCAGGTGGGCCGTGCGCTCGTCTTCATACAAGGGCAATACGATAAAAAAAAGGTGGTAGAACGTCTTGTGAGTCCGCACGGGTAAGTACCACCATAGATAATACACATAAATTGATTGTAGATATAGAACTCGAGCACTCAACAAAAATGTTTACGGGCGTCGGTCACTAGATGGCTTCGCTTCGATTAGTTTCTCATTACTCCTGTAGATGGCAGTAACATATTACCTGTTCTATATTTTATTTTGAATAAAGGATTTTGTAAATTTTCAGAAAACACAAATTGATAAAATTTAACTTGTATTGAATTCATATTTACATAGCCGTCTTCACTATTAGACCAAGGAAGCTTGTATAGCTTTGTTTTCCCTTATCTGAACTCACCTAGCCTGTTCATTGGGCAGGGGTATTTCGATTTTCCTGTCCAATCTTCCGGGCCTCAGCAGAGCGGGGTCCAGCGTGTCTGGTCTGTTGGTGGCCATGATGATCTTCACCTGTCCCAAGGAGTCGAAACCATCCATTTGGTTCAACAACTCCATTAGGGTACGTTGGATCTCTCGATCGGCGCTCGTACCTTCGGAAAAACGTCTCCCACCTGCGTGAATATAATAAATAGCTCATTAATGACCAGTGATACTTGACCGCACTCATCTTACTTTTTTATGGGTGAAAGTATAATAGTAAGTATAGTAAAGCTCAAGTAAAGTGGTTACTGGATACAGAACGTGAACGCCACCGCTCATCTCGAGATTTTTTATTTTTATTTTTATTGCTTAGATGGTTGGACGAGCTCACAGCCCACCTGGTGTTAAGTGGTTACTGGAGCCCATAGACATCTACGACGTAAATGCGCCACCCACCTTGAGATATAAGTTCTAAGGTCTCAAGTATAGTTACAACGACTGCCCCGCCCTTTAAACCGAAACGTATTACTGCTTCACGGCAGAAATAGGCAGGGTGGTGGTACCCACCCGCCCGGACTCACAAGAGGTCCTACCACCAGTACCTGTGTGGTGTCCTGGAATAGGGCCAGCCCAACAAATCCTGTCGTTGTGGTATTATCTAGCAGCTAGCAGCATTATCTACAAACACCATCCTGCAGTAGCACAGTCCTTTGCGATCCATTAACGGCGCTTTTAGGTACCACAAGCACCGACCACCGTTCTCGTCGAACCCGTCGCTTGCGACGAAGGGCTCGGCGAGTGAATTAACCCATAGACACATCCCACTGAGTTTCTCGCCGGATCTTCACAGTGGGTCGCGCTTCCGATCCGGTAGTAGATTCTGCAGAGCATTGCTCTTGCTAGGGCCAGTGTTAGCAGTACTCCAGTTTGAGCCCCGTGAGCTCACCTACATGTTATGGTGAAGCTGAAATAGCCTCTCAAGACTATCAGCGTAGGTAGGAAATAAAAAAAACAGTCCTTTCACAATAGAATGGAGACTTCAACCTTTATGTATAGCTCTTGACGGTAATATCTCTAAGAGGTTGCATCCACAAGCAGCTGTTATTACACACGGACAAATTAGCTACTGGCACTCACCGATGGCATCGATCTCGTCCATGAATATGATGCAGGGTTGGTGGTCCCGCGCGTAGTTGAACATCTCCCGGATGAGGCGGGCCGATTCACCGATGTACTTGTCAACAATCGCCGATGACACCACCTGAAATGTAAATTGATCCAGGTTCCTTGGTTTTTTTTATTGCGTAGTTGGGTGGATGAACCCACAGCCCACCCACCTGGTGTTAAGTGGTTACTAGAGCCCATAGACATCTGCAACGTAAGTACCGCCACACACCTTGAGATATGAGTTCTAACGTCTCAAGTATAGTTACAACGGCTGCCCCACCCTTCAAACCGAAACGCATTACTGCTTCACGGCAGCAATAGGCAGGGTGGTGGAACTTACTCATGCAGACTCACAAGAGATCTACCACCAGTAATACGTGTAATATATTTAACAAGTAATAAAGTGTTATACAGCAATGAGGAAAAGTTTTAAGAAATTTTTGTTTCCTAAACGATAATATTATTATATATTGTCTGAAGAAGCAGATAGAGTGGCTGCACCAACGCGTGCAAAGGCAGCATTGTCGACTGAGGCTATCAAAATTACGTCATGTGATTATTAGAGCCTCTGGACATCATTACAACCTGACCATAATGCATGATGATAGTACATCCACATAACCAAACACCAGATTGCATCGCAGTACACTGGTGTAGTACTCAGATAACGCTAAGTGGCCATTCTCTGATGAATACCTTAGTCACTTAATAAGCCCCTCAGGATTATGGTAGTCCTATATTAAGTCAATATATTGCAGTCGTCCATGTGTGTGAACAGATTTCAATTAACCATTAAATTTCCCAGTTTCAAATTTAAAACTTATGAAATGTGTATTTCTTTTAAGTGTAATTTATTTATCTTTCTCTATAGACTGATAAACAATAAATTATACCTTTAAAAAGTTAGCATCGAGCTGTGAAGCCACAGCCCTCGCGAGCAAAGTCTTTCCTGTACCAGGAGGTCCGTACAGCAAGCATCCTTTGGGTGGAGTGATACCGACTCGAACAAACAGCTCTGGGTTCATTAGGGGCAGTTCAATCACCTGTATTTTGACATATCATTTATTTTAGTTGATGGGGGAAACCGATAACGGTTACATCAATGCTACTAATTGCCTTTGTGTACAATGATACACATATCGACGCTTGAAAGGCAAACGTGACTAAGCGACAATGCGTGAACTTTACAGTAGACTAATTTAGAGTTGAGATACCTACTTCGATAAGGCTATGCGTCATGATAATCGCCTTATCGTTGCCGCCGCTGACTACTCCCCGAATCCTGATCATGCAGGAGCCAGTCACCGTCGACGCCCTAGACACGTCCTTACGGATCCATCAGATCCAATAACCTTTGCATTAGATGCCTTCAGCTTTAATACTAGGAGCAGGCTTAGGGACCCCGGTACCCGCACTCGTCGAACTCGACAAAGAGGTCGACGTGCAACCTAACCCATGCATCAGCCCGCTGAGTTTCTCGCCGGATCTTCTCAGTGGGTCGCGATTCCGATCCGNAAAAAAAAAAAAAAAAAAAAAAAGTTGAGATACCTGAAAAAAATTCTATTTTAACGGATCTAGCTGTAGGATTGAAATGATTTGAATCGACGTAGAAATATATTTTTTTTTGTGCATCGAATATAGTTATTGCCTATCATTTATGTACAAAGTAGTTATTGTTGCTTAGTCACGTTTACCTTTTAAGTGTCGATATGCAATTAACTCAAAATTGAACTCGCATAAAAACAAAAAATTAACAACAGTCCACAGATTTATGGTGTTACTCATGGTCGTGAAACATACATTAATAGTTCCAGTTTAATTTTTTTTTTATAAATTTTAATTTATTTATTATAAAAAAAGAACACAATATTCCTAACCTAAAAGTACATGTTATTATCCGCAACATGCTTCGTCAGGTTACAGAAATAAAGTTATCAGCAACATACTTCGTCAAAAATATGTTGCAGAGAGTTCAGCTTAAATATGTTGCAGAGAGCTTTGTAAGCTTCTTATCAGTACTTATTTTTTGCTTGACTATCTATATTTTAGTATGGTTTTCTAAAAGCATTGATCTTAATATTAATTATTATTATGTTCACTTGCACATATTATGTTGTATGAACGTACTTGTGTGAAAATAACACACTTGTGTTCAATAAAGATTATACCATATGTGATTGAAATCAGTTCTAGCTATACAGGGTTTGCATTTAATTGCCAGAAGCCATTGGCATCTGAAAGATAACTTATATTTGGAAACTGCTATATCGATGATACCAGACCTTGGGGTCATTAGATGAAGTCATATCTGATTATAAACATACCTCTCTCAGCTGTCTAATCTGTTCTTGAAGACCTCCTATGGCGGAATAGGTCACATCACCAGGATCCTCATGACTCATGTTGTAAACTAGGGGATCAACCTATGTACAGATGGCAAGTATATTATTTATAAAATCAAAATAAAAAATTAAATGTTATAATAATACACATTTCGTAGACATTTAAAGGATTATGTACTAAAAAAAAGAAAAGGAAGAATACACTAAAATAGAATCAACATCCACACCGAAAACAGCAATTAAACTTCTTAATGGAACCACCCCACTTCACTACATAGTATAAAACTAAGTTGCTTTCTCTGTCCCTATGTATGCTTAAATCTTTAAAACTACGCAACGGATTTTGATTCGGTTTTTTTTAATAGATAGAGTGATTGAAGAGGAAGGTTTATATGTATAATAACATCCATTAAATAGTGAAGAAATCAATAATAAATTACAGTTTCCGAAGCGAAGCGAGGGCAGGACCGCTAGTAAGTACTAAAGAAAATTTACATTCACTGATTCTAAAATCAGCAAAAAAAACACTAGGGAAATCAATAAAAACCTGTATGTCAGTAAAAAAATTTGAGCATCTTTTTTTTTTAGGTAAATATTTGGTTCATCTACAATTGGCATTAGTTAACATACCTCTCTAGGCAGATGTCTCATTATTGTAAGAGTGGTCATGTCAAGGGCAACTCGTGTTCCTCCTTTAAGCTTGTTTTTGTCAAGTTGCCGACGACAGCCAACAACGTAGCGAGGGCCATTAGTAGCTTTTACAATAACTGGAATTGGAGAGATTTTGTTATATTAAAGATAATTAAAAATTTCTGATCAAAAGTACTATTTTTTATTTATTTTATTGCTTACATGGGTGGACGAGCTCACCGCTCACCTGGTGTTAAGTGGTTACTGGAGCCCATAGTCATTTACAACACGCTATCCACCTTGAGATAAAAGTTCTAAGATCTCAGTATAGTTACAACAGCTGCCCCACCCTTCAAGCTGAAACGCATTACTGCTTCACCGCAGAAATAAGCGAGGTGGTGGTACCTACCCGTGCGGACTCACATGAGGTCCTACCACCAGTGATTATGAAAATTATAATTTTGCAGGTTTGATTTTTATTACACGATGTTGTTCCTTCACCGTGGAAGCCGATAGTGAACGTTTCTTAAGTACATATTTCATTAGAAAAATTGGTACCCGCCTGCCGGATTGCACTGGACATCTTATCCTTTAGGCCCACGAAGACTTCAATCTAAAACTACATTTGTTAATGCTTAACAACGATATTTAAAGTTTCAAACATAAAAACTTATTAGTTTTGTATGAGTACTCACATTTTTCTTCTGTGAGCTGTTTCAAGACTTCTCCAACTATTTGTCCAACACTTTGTAGGGCTTTCAGGTCATTTTCACTCTTGTCATATTGTTTGGTCAAATCTTTTAGTTGGTCACGACCTGAAAATGATTGAATTTACATTGTCAATTTTGATCAGCTTTTCATAGAGAACATATTCTTGCTACGATTCCCCTACTAATCTATCTATCTATTGGGTTTATGGCGTTTCCTTTTAGATTTCGCTAATGTCAAGTGACAAGTGTATTACTCTGCTTTCTATAGCGGGCTTCGTGAATGAACAAGGTCGCAGATTCTAACTAAGAATTAAGTGAGTAACTAAGAATGTTTGATGACAGGATCGCTGTTGATGTACCTAAAACAAATAAGACGCACACAATATATATATACAGGGGTTAGTTGGTTAAAAGACAGACAAACTAAAGCTTAATATTATTATGGTTAATGAATGAACTAAGAATATAAACGAAAGGGGAGTTGACAAGGAATAGTCTTTTGTTAAGTTTTATTGTCAAACTGTCTTTTCGTGTCAAAAAAATACCAGAGCTTAAGATTAATATTTTAGTTTTATTAATAAAATCCTATTTATATTTGATAATAATTAAAAATGCACTTATGAAATGAACAAAATTATTTGAACTGTAATATGTTTAGTTATTACTGAAACTCAAAATAATGAGTTGATGATTCGGCAAAAAATGTTCTTGCCTTCTTTGAGTCGTGACTCGACTTCCTTATGCTCCATGAGTTTCTTTCTGTAATCCTGGAAGGCCTTTTCTCTTAACGGCTCCATGTCCGATGTACTAGCCGGCATCGTGAACAATTTAAATTGTTATTTTAAACTTTAATTTGAATGAAATTTATCACAATTCACGAAACTTGACGTTCCGTAGCGCAGCTCTGACACTTAACTTTTGTTTGACAGTACGGTAGTGGTTCCATTTTTCCAAGTGGAAAAACGAAAGTATTATACCACACAGCCTTAACTTTTGTATGTATTTTACATTCTATTCTCTTTCATGAAAATTTATATGAATTGAAATGAAATGAAGTTAATTATTTTGAAGCATAACTGAATTGAAATGAAATTAAAAGAAATGAGATGAGATGATATAGGATGAAATATAATCTTAGTAAAATTGTGGTTATTTACCGAGACTTTTTCAGTGGACTTCTTGGAAGATCCCGAGAAGCTATGTTCTGCGGCTTTGTGCCATTTTTCTACATTTTTGCACAGATACTAAACAATTAATAAACCACCTTTATTACATATTTCAACATGAAGAAACACTAAATGGACGAAATAAAACAATTCACACAGCTTCTTATTTTCTAACAAATCGTTATAAATAGAGTTACATAATTTATATTACACGTTAGTGTGTGTATAATTTCTGGTCTAGCAGCAAAAGGATTTAATTGGTGTGAGCGCATGTAATCGGACGGTATTTATGTGTAATTTGTACATACTGCCGTTACTTCTCTATTGATCTAAACTAATTTGAGCTTGACTAGATTAGTCAATGTTTACTACCTTTTTTTCTGCTACTTAATCGTTGGTAGCATAAGGGGCTATTCCAACTGAGCAGTTCAGTAAGTGATCTTACAGAGCTCAACTTGGGAGGGCTTACTAACGTCAGACCTCGCAAGAGCAGTGCTTTGCTGAATTTACTTTCGGTTTGGACGCGACCCACTGAGAAGATCCGGCCAGAAACTCAGGGTTGTGTCTATGGGCTAGATTGCACGAACTCTTTGTCGCATTTGACGGGTTCGACGAGAACGATGACGATGTGCTTAGAGTGCCCAAAAGCACCGATAGTGGTTCAGGAGGATGCGAAATGACGTGTTTTTTCAGAACGGGCGTTTATTCAGAATAACTATTATATCAAAAAATCCGCTAAAGAACATAGTAACATGATTTTATAACTTTAACTTGGCTTGTATTAAATTTTTATCCTCTCAATACAATGTAACAATACCTTTGAATAAAACTACGAACAACATAGAACATTAAACGTCATTTTGCAATTTGCAATGAAAAATTTTTAAAGTTTATAAAACTTTACTCGAACGAATTTTCGCACGATAAAAATTTACGAGCATTCTGCTGTTTTTACGAGTTTCCTTCAAACTATCGCTATCATGTCGACGATTACGTTGTAAACTCGACACGTCCATTTTGCAGGAAGCCAGTATTATGCGCGTAAACTGGATCGTTCCCTACGACGATGATATAATCTGTTAAATAAAGTTTCCGGTGATAATTTTCGTTAAGCTCATAAATACGATATTGTTTGAAGGGTTTTTACCACGATTTCCACAGTCGATTGGTTCTCGAAATTTTGACGTTGCAAACACGACGCTCCAGCTCTATAATAGTGTTAATATTGGTTTCATCTTCTTCTTCTTCTTTGTCTCCACCTTGTCTCACTAGGTTTTTTTTTATTGCCGTATAGGCAGACGAGCATACGGCCCACCTGATGGTGAGCGGTTACCGTCGCTCATGGACGTCAGCAATGCCAGGGGCAGAGCCAAGCCGCTGCCTACCGTTATATGGAGTCGGCACAGCGAATTTTTCTATTCTATTCACCTCTGTCAGCCGTCATCTCAACATTCACTCCTCTATCTCTCATATTGTCATTGACACACTCCATCCATGTCCTCTTCGGTCGACCTCTTCCCCCTCTACCTTGCACTGCCATTTCCATACATCTCCTAGTCACATGCATCGCATCTCTACATATCACATGTCCATACCACGCTAACCGTCCGCCCTTTAATTTATCAATCCTTGTTAGTCGATTCAGAACAATTTTCAAATATTTTTTGTTTTATAAAATAAGTAATATTTGCGTATGGAAGTAAAGAGCTGCATGTGGTTCGCGAGCCGCAAATTGCCGACCCCTGGTTTAAGAAGATACACTGTAAGCAACAAGCCTACCAAGGCATGCACGTACACAAGATAGAAGGTAGAAGTGAGTAGAGATTTACATACGTAGAGCAGAGGATAACAATGAAAGGTACCGATGCTGAGAAAGTACGTGGAGTTGGATTCCGTATACGTAGTCGTCAATAAACATCCAGCAGACTTCGGAAGATGGGCCCCTAAGCATTTCGTCATTTCGTCACATAACAACGTGAACTGGTGGTAGGACCTCTTGTGAGTCCGCACGGGTAGGTATCACCGCCCTGCCTATTTCTGCCGTGAAGCAGTAATGCGTTTCAGTTTGAAGGGCGGGGCAGCCATTGTAACTACACTGAGACCTTAGAACTTATATCTCAAGGTGGGTGGCGCATTTACGCTGTAGATGTCTATCGGCTCCAGTAACCACTTAACACCAGGTACGCTGTGAGCTCTTTCACACATCTAAGCAATAAAAAATAAATAAAAAGCAACCGTATCTCTCGTCTTCAAGAAAACTTTCAGACGTAAGACATTCCGTTACAAATGTCGGAAAGTTTTCAACCTTAAAAAAAAAAGAAAAACTTATTCTGATAAGGGCTTCCGAGTTCGAAATAAATAAGGGTCGAATTTGCTTTTTGTTGTTATGAACGCGATAAAAAGTAAGACCAAGGAACATTAGCGATTGTATATGTCACGGATATTTTGTATCTGTTCAACTGGTATGCGCTGAGGTACTTGTCAATATTACGCCTTATATCTCAAGGTGGATGGCGCATTTACGTTGTAGATGTCAATCGGCTCCAGTAACCACCTGAACACCAGATGGGCTGTGAGCTCGTCCAGCCATATAAGAAAAAGAAAAAAAAAGTGGAATTATTTTTAAAACAGCGCCTTATGCTATTAGAGTAAGATATTAAATTAAAAAGGAAAGAAACACGTCATACGTAAATATTAATAAAAGCAAATACTTGTCACGACATACAAGTCACGAAAAATATAAAAAAAAAAAAACAACGCAACACACTTCACTCAGCTTAAAACTCTGACATTCATATCATATCCATTTCCTACACTAGCGCATCGACATCAACCCCACGAAAAGCAAAGCGGTGCTCTTCAAAAGGGGTCGCCCTCCGAACACCACGTTGAGCATCCCTCTCCCGACTAGGCGCGTCGACACCTCCGCCACCGCCATTCGCCCAATCACGATGTTCAACCAGCCCATACCGTGGGCCCCGAAGGTCAAATACTTAGGCATCACCCTCGACAGTAGGATGACATTCCGCCCCCATATTAAGACGGTACGCGACCGTGCCGCCTTCATTCTAGGACGTCTCTACCCGATGATATGCAGGCGAAGTAAAATGTCCCTTAGAAATAAGGTGACACTCTACAAAACTTGCATACGCCCCATTATGACCTATGCAAGTATAGTGTTCGCTCACGCGGCCCGCACTCACTTAAAATCCTTCCAGATTATTCAATCCCGTTTTTGCAGGATAGCCGTCGGAGCCCCGTGGTTCGTCAGGAACGTCGACCTCCATGACGACCTGGACTTAGAGTCCGTCAGTAAGTATTTGCAGTCGGCGTCGATGCGCCACTTCGATAAAGCGGCACGACACGAGAACCCTCTTATCGTGGCCGCCGGTAACTACATTCCCGATCCTGCGGACAGAATGGAAAGCAGTCGACGTCGCCCAAAACACATCATCTCGGATCCTCCCGATTCACTAACGGTGCTTTTAGGTACTTCAAGCACCGGTCACCGTTCTCGTCGAACCCGTCGCTTGCGACGAAGGGCTCGACGAGTAAATTAACTCATCACTCAGACACAGCCCACTGAGTTTCTCGCCGGATTTTCTCAGTGGGTCGCGTTTCCGATCCGGTGGTAGATTCTGCGAAGCACGGCTCTTGCTAGGGTTCGTGTTAGCATCGTCGTCAGGTTTAAGCCCCGTGAGCTCACCTACTAGCCACGGTTACGCTGAAATAGCCTCTCAAGGCTATCAGCTTAGGTAGGAAAAAAAAAACACTAGCGCTATTTCGGCGACTCTTCCAATAATAACTTGCTGTTTACGGGTGGAGACTGCTTCAACTTGTCCCCTATTTAAGGTTCACCCTTCATCTACTCTACATAACCATAGACACGACTTGACGGAACCACCAGATCCACTGACACTCTAGTTAGACGCTGAGATAAGGCTATGGAAGCTTGAAAAATTGTCCCACTTTTAGCACTAAATAACAGTTCAAAAATCCTCCAGAATGACGCTAGCATAGGCACAGGGTATGATATGAATTGAGCAGTTCTTAACTGATTGAAGTACGCCGAGTTAGGAAATTTAATATATTTAATGACTACAGTAGTTAGTGACAGTGTAATATACAAGACCTCACATGTTTACGTAGTCCAAACTAATTTCGTCAATATAACCTAAAATTATTACCTACTGTGGTAAAACGTGGAGACATCGATTGTATTTTCTTATCAGCTTTAAATAAAGTACTTTTTGTGATTTTGTAGTGCTCACAGTTCTTTCGTCCTTTTTTACTTCTCTATCTTTTTATAATAACATTCAGCGCCTTTTTTTTAAATTTACCCGGTTGCTACTGTAGCGCCACCTTTATTTAGCAGATTTTAACGGACACTTTTTAGACGCAGAGACGATTCTCCTTATCTCTACCCTCCATAGATAAAGCATTACACAGACCTACGTACTATACCCAAAGCAGTAGCCTCCAGGTTTCCCGAATTTTGATTCACTCACAAATTGTAATTGCTATTTTCTTCAAAACATTACAACGAACGAACGTTTTTCGTAATTTAAGAAATGGCGAATACAAAGTCTGCGTCAATAAACGCTCAACGCTTTTAAATATAAAATACAAGACGAGTTTCCTCTTACGATCAGGTGGAAATATTAGTTTTCCAACTTCGAGCTGATAAAAGCTATATAATATGAACTCGATCAACTTTCATGTTAAGAACTTTACATG